GGATTCCTTCCCCCACTGAACGCGATCACTTGTCAGCCTCGCTTCGCGCCTTCCAACTCTTAAGGCGAGGTGATCGGCTTGGTCTGTTATACGAGACGAGCTCGTGTGATTTGCAATCGTCGGAATAATCAATTGCTGGCGAACGAGCAATTGTGAATTTAAGGCGACCTGCGCAGGCCGGATTCCTTGCCCCACCGACCGCGATCGCTTATCAGCCAGGCACTCTTAAGGCGAGGCGATTGGCTTGGTCTGTTATACGAGACAAGCTCGTGTGATTTGCCATTGTCGGAATAATCAATTGCTGGCGAACGAGCAATTGTGAATTTAAGGCGACCTGCGCAGGCCGGATTTCTTGCCCCACTGAATGTGATCACTTATCAGGCTCGCCTCGTGCCTTCGACTCTTGAGCGAGGCGACCGGATTGGTCTGTTATACGAGACGAGCTTGTGTGATTTGCAATCGTCGGAAGACTAACTTGCTGGCCACCCTGATAATGACCGTATAGAAGCTATCTTTCCGGTCCGGTGCAGCCAAAATGAGGGTGCGGCGTGTTGAAGAAAGTGCGTGAACCTGAGCAATTGTGAATCTAAGGTGACCAGCGCAGGCCGGATTCCTTCCTCCACTGAACGCGATCACTTGTCAGCCTCGCCTCGCTCCTTCCGACTCTTAAAGCAAGGCAATCGGCTTCATCTGTTATACGAGACACGCTCGGGCTGCACAGAGGTAACATGTATGTCATTCTCCCAATGGAGAGGTGGTCTCCACCTCTCTGTTCAAGGAAGAAGAGGGGGGGGGATCAACCGAAGGTCCGCAGGGGAGGAAGCAGGCATGAAGGAAGGAAGGAAGGAAGAATGAAGAGTGCGTGGACGGAGGGAAGAAAGAGAGGAGAGAAAAGAGAAGTAACGGGGGAGGAGAAAGGGAGGGAAGGAGCGAGAGAGGGAGAGAGAGAGGGAGAGAGGCAAGGAGGGGGCAGGGAGACGGAGAGAGAAGCGCTGACGGAAATGGCGACGAAGGGAAGGCACAGACAGCACGACAGGGAGGAAGAAAGGAAGAGAGAAATCAAAAAAAGAGTGAAGGAGGGTGCGCAGATGGGAACGAAGAGAAGGAGAGAAGAGTAGAGAGAACAGATGGGAAGGAAGAGGAGAAGCAAAGAGAGAGGGAAGGGTGGGGGTAAGAATGGCACGGAAAGACGGAAGGGGGAAAAGGGAGACGGAATACCAATGCCTTCCGTCCTTCCCTTATACCTCTGTACCTTTCTACATAGGTCCTTCCCTTATACCTCTGTACCTTTCTACATAGGTCCTTCCCTCCCTCTCTCCTTCTCCCCCTCCCTCCTTCCTTTTTTTCTCTCTCTATTTCATCCCTCAGTCAGTAATCCGCTCCCTTCCTACCTCCGCATTCTCACTTACTCCTTCCCTCTCCCCCCTCCCTCCC